CTGAGGAAGATTAAGAGAAAGCCCTTAGGTCAACAGTGACTTGCAATAATAATAGGTAACGTATGTGAGTCTTACTCTGTTTTTTCATCATATAGATCCTCTATGAAGTGGGACTTATTTTTGTAACATTTTATAGGTGAGAAAACTGGGACTTAGGGAAGACTAAACGCCATGCCCAAGGTCATATAGCTAAAAGGGGGAAAGCTGGAATTCCTAACTGGAATTCAGAGGCTTCCCATTGTCGTCGTGGTCAAGACCAAACACCTCAAAATGGCTTCGAAGACTCCATGTGATCTGACCCCTGCCTGCTTTTCCATTCTCTCCATGTGCTAATTTCCCTTGAACATATCATGCTTCCTTCCCCACTGGGGCCTTTGCTCTTCTTTCTGAGCCTAATGTTCTTTTCAACCCTCCGTTTCCTAATTAACTTGGTAATTATCATTCAGATCTTAGCTGTTGTAGAGAAGTCCTTTGACCCTGTGGACTAGGTCAGCAGTCCAAAAGGCATTCTCACAGCCACCATGCTGTTTCTTCCCAGCACTTGTTACAGTTTACAGTTACATATCTACGTCTCCGATGAGTCGATTAACATGTATGCCCTCTTCTGTTAGTTAATTGCACCCTAGAGATAGTATCAGTTACTGATCATCAGTGCATCTCTAGCACATAGCACAGTCCCTGGCAAAGAGCAAGTGACCATGGTATACCTATTTTTGAATGGAAGAAGGACTTCAAAGTACAGGTTTTTAAACATCCTACCATTCAAGAAGTTTGTCTTGGAACATACCATTTAAAAGAAATACACATTTTTTGTTACAATGGAAGAACTGTGTATAATGACAATCACTGGTAATAGATTATACACAATGAAGAATCAGATAATTTATTGACACCTGACTCAGAGCTATCACACTGAAAATTTGGCTAAACAGCCTGTAGGAAATTAGAGGATGGAGAAACCAATAGTAGTCATTACTTGGAGGAGTGTTAAAGAGAGGAGAGAGTTCCTTATAACTGTAAAATAATTTGAGATAATGAAATATCGTATTAATAGACTTTTCTGTCCGAGTGACACTTACAAGGTATTTAAAGACCCACATATAGCCAAGTAGAGGCAGAACACATAACCACAGATTCAGTCAAGGAGCCCGTGGTCCACTGCGTGCTTTAATAGGCTCTGCTATTAATTAGGTATGCTAAGGCATCAAATCAGGAGATGGTTTTTGAAAAGAGAGTTTATTGTACTCACAGATCCCAAGAGAGGGAGTACATGTCTCACTATGGGGGACCAAGAGGGGAAGCACCAGTGTTGGTCACCAGGCAGAGGAAGAGATGGGAACTGTGGGCAATTCTTTTACTGTGGTTTCTATGAGAAGGAATGAGTGAGGCCGTGTAAGCAGGCTTAGGATTGGTCCGTTTGAGTAATTGGCCGTGGGTGATTAGTGGCATGTGTATAGTGGCCCTGAGTGTGAGAGCCTGATAAGGGAGGTGCTTGGGGGTGTCAACTCTGGATTGGTTGATTTATATTAGAAAAATGCATTCCTGGGAGGTGTCTCCTTCTGAGGAGGGAGTGGGCAACGAGGGAGGTAGGAGCCAAGGCAAGGTGACGCAGGTATATTATCAGGTTCTCCAGAGTGACACGTGTCCGGCATATGCATGCAGAACAGATGTTAAAGCATCAGGTTGGCAGAAGCTAGAAACAGGAATAATACACTGTGGCTGACCCACTCGGTAACTTTTATGAGGTTCACAATCTGTTCATTTCCAACAGAAGTGAGAATAATAACAGCTAGCCTAATTCTCCTCTGAACTGTGGTCTCAGGGTTCTTAACCTGTCTTAGGCCATTGAGTCCTATGGCAATCTTGTGGGCCCATCTCAGAATAAGTGTATTTTAATGAGGGAAATAAAATGTATCCATGTACAAAGAAAATTAACTATGTTGAAATACAGTTGTGTTTACAAATTAAGAACCACTGAGCCCCTGTTCACCAAAGAATATAGCTCAGACATTTAGACTGAGCCTGACTGCTACAGAGTACCCACTGCCCTCCTCTGCTCATTTCTAAACTTCGGAAACAGTTAATGCCTACGCCTGGAGCTCCAAAGGCCTGGATTTGAGTCCCAACTCTGCCACTTGGGGTCTGTGAGACCTTCAACAGGTTACTTCACTTCTCACTTTTTACAATCTATAATTATCTCCTGTGTATACCTGTTGTCTGTGCCTCCCAAGAGGCTCCACAAAGGCCAGGATGTTGTTTCTCTTATTTATTACGAGGCTCTGATTCTTGCTAGAACAAGGCATGTAGTAGGTGTTGAGCAAATATTTTTAGTGCCTGATGGAAGAGCGAATTCACTAGCTGATTTTCCAAGCAGATAGCCGTACTTCACTGTTCAAGAGGCCGTAGAGCCTCACATGTTCTGCTTATCTTGGAGCCTTTGCCCAGAAAGCATGTTTCATGGCCACTGCTTCAGTCAGCACAGACTCATTCATTTCTATCCTACATGTTCATCATATCGGCATTTAAAGCTAAAGCTGTATATAGCACATAATGGCAATTGATGTTCCTTAAGATGCTAGAAGCTATTAAAAATCAGGTTAAGTTGGATTTCACTATATTTTGCTTAAGAAGATACAGTATAAGGACAATTTGAAATGATTACCATCAAACTAGGAAAGTCCTCCAGAACTTAGGGGTTAGTATGTAGCGTTTAGAATAGCTTCCCAGAAAGACTCATTCTAAACATGTTTTAGCTTTTTTTTTCAATTTTTGAAATATGAAAAACTTAAAACATATACCAAAATAGCACAGTATAATTAATCTACAATCACTCATTACCCAGTTTCGATAATTACCAATATTCCCTCTTCCACTTCTCACCTGACCCCACACTGGTTGAGATTATTTATTAAACCGTATCTCAGTCATCATTATATTTCATTTATACTTACATCAGTATATATGTCTAGAACATAAGGACCCTTTAAAAAATAAACTTAATCCATCATACCCAACATGATAAAAATAATTTTTTAATGTTTTTAAACATCCAATCAGTGTTAAAATTTCCCCAGTTGTCTCATGAATGTTCCTTTGCGGTTGATTTGTTGGAATCAGGATCCAAACCAGGTCAATATATTGTACTGGGTAATCTCTTAATCTCCTGTAATCTATAACAGTTTCTCCTTCTCTCTTTTTCTTTTTCTGCTTGCCAGTATTTTTAATTGAAGAAAGAAGGTCATTTGTCCTGTAAAATTTCTCCATATTCTTAATTTTGGAGATTGCATTCCCATGGTGGCATTTAACAAATTTAATAATACTGCCTTGTGAGTTGTATTTAGCTCACACTAGTTTTGAGCCCAGGGCCTCGTGAAGCATATGTAACTCACACGTCTCTTCACCTTGGGAGCCGTGTGGACTATTTTTCACGTTGCATATAACTCACCCACAGAAAACAACAAAAAACAACAACTTTTTCATTAAATTAGAAAGGATCGTTTTGTTTTTGAAGTTTTTATTCTATTTTTGTAATAAAACACCATGGCCCCAAGGAAATGTTTTTTTCTAATGTAGCGGTCAATGTATTTTCTTTTTTTATTTCAGCATATTATGGGGGTACAGGGGTACAGATGTTTAGGTTACATATGTTGCCCTTGTCCCCCCCCCCAAGTCCGAGTTTCAAGTGTGTCCATCCCTCGGACGGTGCGCATTGCACCCTTTGTGTATGCATATACCCGTCCCATCTTCCCTCCTCCCCCTTCCCCCCTGCCCAACATCCAATAGATGTTACTCTTATATGTGCACTTATGTGTTGATCAGTTAATACCAATTTGATGGTGAGTACATGTGGTGCTTGTCTTTCCATTCTTGGGTTACCTCACTTAGTAGAATGCATTCCAGCTACTAAGTGAGGTATCCCAAGAATGGAAAGACAAGCAGTCAATGTATTAAATCTATCCCCTTTATTTCTTACAAACTGATAGTGCTGGAGGCTTGCTTAGGTTCAAATTTGACTCTTGGTAAAAATACTTCATAGGAATTTCTGTGTACTTCTGATTGCATCATGTTGGGGACACATTATGTCTGGCCGTGTCTTTTTGTGATACTGAGATTGATGAGTGGGTTGTCCTTTTGTCAGCCGGATCGCTCCATCCTAAAAGTCCCCATCAGCGTGTGTGTGATGCAGGGGTTCTCAACCCTGCCTGCATGTTAGAACGTCTGTGAAGCTGTTACATCTTCCTGATGCCCAAGCCCCATTCCCAAGAATTGCTCCAACATAGACCTGGGCTCTGTAACTATTTGAGTCTTAAGTAATTCTAATGTACAGACAGGATTGAGAACCACTGACCTGAAAAATTTGGCATCCACTGAGGATCTTTTCCTAGAGATCCGTTATTCAATAGGGGTTGTTAAATGGTGATGCTCTAGCATGCTTTCCGCACATACCAGCAGAAATTCTTCTAAAAAAACTTTCATTAAACTTTGGCTCTCCTTTTACTTGTACAGGAAACGTAGGATAGATATAAATAGTGGATTCTTATTAGTTTTCTGAAAAATGAATGTCCAACATTCTACAGAGGTGGCCAGTGAGCTTTGTTTAAGTATTATGAGTTTATAGATTTTAACCCATTTGATATATTTCAAACAATTGCATTTATTATAATAGTACCATTATTTTAATGCTCGAATTGTTTGAATTTTAGCCAATCGAAGTGATTCCAAATTAGCCCCTGTGACTTTTTTGACGGTGTTTTATTGCTCCAGTAGTTTTTAATTGCTTCCTTGCTCTTAAGTATGACAACATGTTTTAGGCTAAGCTTATATGTTTGATAATTTAGTTGTTCTGCAGCCTCCTCGTCTTGTGCAATTTCTATCCTGAACCTGGGATCAGCCAGGTTGTCAGGCTAATTTTAAAAATTAAAATCTGAATTTTTAAGTTAATCCTGCAGTGAATGTTGCATAAATCATCTGTAACCAGTATGTGTTTTTTTTCTCCCTAGTTAATGTCCATCAGTGTGTTGGCGGTTTCTGCTTGGATGAGGGACTACCTAAATAATGTTCTGACTTTAACTGCAGAAACAAGGTATGGAATTCTTTCATCAGATTTTCTCAGATGCTGGTTTTTAGTAATGTTACCCTTAGCTGTCTATATGATAGTGCTCTTCCACAGTCTTTTAGAAAACTGTTTCCTGCCATAACAACCTTTGTTGCAGACACTTGCGTTTTCTAGCATTCTTGTTAAGGTATGCCACTGGTCCTAGAGGGGACGATTCTGGATATGGTGATAACCAGGCACCTTTCCTCCTAACAGTGTGTCAGCCATATCATATTTATGTATAAGGGACAGCTTAGTTATTAATACTTTTCCCTAAGAAAATCACCTTGAGCTTCTTCTTACTTTCATATCCCTGGGCTAATAAAAACTAAGCCCCAGCATGCCATTTTCTTCTCAGATTTCAAGGGTTGATCCACTAAGATCAGAAGGGATAAATTACTTTTAACTTCCTCATCTTTGGAGATTGTAATACATGCCCTCTGAATTGTGGTAAGGATTAAATGAGATACATTTTTGTAAAGTCCTTAACACAGGGGAGCTTAGTAATGCTTCATTTTTATTATCATCATTATTATTACTAGTTCTGGTTAATGAATTGTTCTTAGTGTTCTAGCAAAAATCATCCCTACCTCCTTCTGTCTTTTAATGTAGATTGATTTCCCTTTGCATAGCAGTTGTTCACATTTCGAGGATCAGTTGTCGGGAAGCAGGAAAGTTGTACACAGGGAGTCAAAGATCACAGAAGAGGAAAAAGATTCCTCCCAGCTGGGAAATAGCAAAGGAACCCGTGTGATTTATTTAGGCTAAAGCTTTAGAGCTAATAATAGATTGACTTTTTATTGGAGGTCATCTATATTATATTTTAAATGAGTTGGGGTAGGAATGCTACCACTTGTACGAAAAAAAACTAAACAAATCAAAAACAAAAATAAAGCAAGCAAATAAACATAAAAACAATAGCACAGTGATTTTGAAAATAGCAATATGGTCCCTACTTTTGAAGGCATTATGATTTAAAGAATTATTAACATAAATCACAGTTGTATCTTGTGCTATGTCTTGGGTGCATTTTGATCATATTTTATCTATAATATGACTTGACTTTTCTTTTTTCAGGGTGGAGGAGGCGGTCATCTTGACTTACTTTCCTGTGGTTCATCCGGTCATGATTGCTGTTTGCTGTTTCCTTATCATTGTGGGAATGTTAGGATATTGTGGAACGGTGAAAAGAAATCTGTTGCTTCTTGCCTGGGTATGGTCTTTATATCTTCTCTTTATTGTAGTTAAAAAGACCAATTGGAAATGTATTATTTTTTCATCAGTCCACAAGATTAGGGAACAGTGAGAGCAGTAGCAGCATCCTGTGAGAAGGGAAGCTTTCTTGCCATGAGAGATGATTTCAATGCAAGTGTTTGCTGTACTCATACGATGAGGTATGGAAATACATACACTTCTGAACTATTTCACTCTGGCTGTGCGTTGACATTTTCATTTGAAAGTATGAGTTCTTTCTAGTGTCATTGACCTTTTTACCACTCAAAAAGGCCCCTCGGGACTAGAACTGAGAAGTCATAATGGAACTGTTTCTTTTTTCTTTCTTCTTTTTTAAAAACAAACACCCCCTAGAAACCCATGTAGAAACTCAGGAAGTGAGGTAGCAGACAAAGGTTATAATCTTGGCACTGCCTTTACGTAGGTTAGTGGACATAAGCAGGTCTCAGTTTCTATAATCTGAGTTGTTGTTGTTATTAAACTCTGAAAGAGTTGGACCTAGATTACTTCTTAAATTTGTTTCATCATTCAAATTCTATGATCAGTCTTTTAGTTTGAAAATGAGCAAACTTTTTTTTAATATTAAAAATTTGAATCAATTAAAATCCCATTTATATACAGATTTTTGAAGGATACTGAGCGTATAAAATACTGTGTACTCGTGGCATCAGGTAGTGAGACTGCTAACATAATTGCAGATATGTAAGTCTTAAAAATCAATTCATTGAATATATGCCTTTCTTTGTAGTAGAGCTCAACCCTGGCTGTACATTAATTTCATGTAGGGACCTTAAAAACACTTGAGTGGTGTGCCGGTAAACTGGATCTCTGGGCCGACAAAAGCCTTGATTTTTAGCATTTAAGGATTTCCATGGGGCACGTTCTCCCAGCATGGTTGATTTCAAGTTACCAACATGAAATCACTGAATGTGGAGTCGGGGACAGATGAGCACAAATTGGCTCTTAGGAGCCGGCTCCCATGCACTCGTGCTTGACTGGCTCCTGTGCCAAGCCAATTAAAACAGAATCTTAGTGTCAGGCTGAACGAAAACTTTGAATTTCACAGGGACAACCTGTGTTAATGTATTATTTGGCTTCTTGGAGGATAACTCTCAGGTCAGTGACTGCAAAACACAAAGTACTGTAGAAAATAAGCCATACTCAGAGAAGGGGAAATGTGCCTACTGCCTTACTTCTCTCCATATGGGTATATGGTGAAAAGGAGAGTGGTAGAAAGTTTGGAATCTGATTTTGCAATTTATGATATTTGGGCAATAATTTAAACAGAAACTAAAGTACTTACTTTATACAAACCTTCTATAACTTGAGAGATGTATAATGTATTTTAAACTTGAAATAAAAAGTCTTGGAATTCTTTTTTCAAACCCCAGTCTTACGATGACGTCTCACTTATATAACCAATTTAAGTATGACTGCTGTTTTCCCCCCTCCTTCCAGCTTTTATTCTGGATGGGCCCTGTTCTGGGGGTTGTGTTAGGATGGGGTCAGGTATTTCATGGAACCACAAAAGCTTTTGGGAACACATTTTGAAAACCATTTATGCATTCCACTTGGCTGCTTAAATGTTAGTAAAACAAGTTGGAAAAAACATAATTTGTCCTGCTTACTTGAAGTAGGACAAATCATACACTTGTGAATGAGAGTCTAGTTTGTGATACTGGAAAGAGCCTTATAATGCAAAAGTGGCATGGAAGACTTAGGTTCTCAGGGCCACTAACTTGTACATTCATTCATTCTTCAAATACTTATTGAGCACATATATACTACCAGTGTGTGTAATAGACAGACAATTCCACTACTCTTTGATAAGACTTCCAGTAGGGTTTACACCAGGTGCTCTCAGGCCAGCGAGGTATAGCTCTAAGCTCAGCCCTAAGGGGTCAGTGGGAGGATGATGAGCATAGATTGATACTGCCTTTTTCCATCCCCGCTTTGCTTGTTGGATGTACTCTTTTTCATGAAGCAGCATTTTGTGCATGGCTGTTCTGTGTGTCCATGGCTGCCATCTACATCCTGGTTGCTGCTTCCTTTTGACTGCTTTTGACAGTTCATTCCCCATTGCCATTGGGCTGCCTCTTTTCTCCTGGCAAGTTTCTAGATCCTTACTCTGTCTAGACCCACCACAGCATCTCCCTTGCTAAAGAATGATCTGTGGTTGCAACTCCCACTTATCCATCACTCGTAGTCAATCTGCCTCTGATCTGATTCTCAGGCAGTTTCTTCTTGGGCTTCCAAAAGCCCCCTCCTCTAAACAGCTGCCAAGTCCTATCAGTTCCGAATCTACAATCTTGGGAAATTGTCCCTTCTTTACTATTCTTATTTGGGATGCCCAAGTTCAGGCTTTCCTAACTTCTTGCTCAAACAGGTGCAGAGCCCCATAACTAACGTTCCTGCCTCCGTTGTCTCCTTCTAATCTACTCCACACCAGTGCTTCCAGGTTAATCTAATGCAACTGTGATCACATTACTCCTCTGTTCCAAGAACTTGAAAGACTCCCTATTGGGTAATGAAGTGTTTACAGGTTCCTCAAACTTACAGCAAGCCCTTGTACAATCAAGGCTGCATCTGCCATTGTTAGCTTTCCTGGTCACTTCATTGTTGTCTAGTCCAACTGTTTTTTCTGATCCCTGAACAAACTTTTCTTGCTTTTTTTCTTCCCTTTTTTTATTCTGAATGTCTTTTTAGATGGGAATTTCTTCTTAGTATTTTAGATGGGAATTTCTTCTGTTATTATATTACCAGCCCATTGAGACTTATCTGAAATGCTACCTCTTGAATTAGTAATACTGACAACGATGATGATGGTAATTAACATAGTTAACATTTCTCAAGTGCTTACAGTGCCAGACACATAGAGTTTTACATGAATTTTTTTTACATGAAGAGTTTTCTATAAATTAATTAATTTTATCCTCTCCATAATTCTACTGAGATAGGTGCTATTATTAGTCACTGAGTATTCATGAGGACATGAGGCACAGAGAGGTTAAGTGACTTGCCTAAGTCTGCACAGCTAGTAAAGGGAGATCTGGTATTCAGACCACGGCAGTCCAGTTCCAACAACATATTTGTAACAATTTGACCATTTTACTCTATAATTACGGACTTCTCCTAAGTGCTTACAAATGTGTCTTGCATTGTATAAAACAGTCTATGTATGATTGTTCATTTTAAACCTGACAACAGTCATCTGAGATAAGTAATTATTAAATGAGATTCAGAAAGATCAGTAATATGCCCAAGGTCACTCAGCAATAAATGGATAGAGCTTGGATTCAGACCTCAGCATTTCTGATTGCCAAGCCCATTCTCACAGGGCCTTTGCTGATTTCTCTAATAGATTCTTTTCAACCTTTGAAGTCCAATGTACTGCCCTTATTATAAATTTCCTTTTTTTAATAATCAGTGTAAACTACTAGACTATAAACAACTTATTAATATGAAACATTCACCTTGCTCATTGATTTAATAAATGTTTATTAAATTGAGTAATGGACAAAAAATTAGAACAGTGAGAGTAGGAATGACCAGCACATCAGATTGAGGGTAGTACCTGGAAGTCAGTGATAGAGTGGGAATTTAATGGAGGAACCTGGATATTAGAAAGATTTGGATTCAGAGCAAATGGCATTTGGGGGGTAAATTAATGCAGGATGTGACATGATATTAGGTCTTTGGCACAAATATTTGTAAAGCAACTCTCATAGTTTTTTTGTCTTTTGTGACCTTTGGCTTTTTATCTTAATTTAAAAAAAAATTTTGGAAGTTTCTTACTTTTATTTTGGATGTAAATGTTTAAACAAGCAGGATGCATTCATTCAACTTGTCTGTTTTCCTGTATTCAAAGTCTTGTTTCACTTTGAAGACCTGTAAACCAGATTAGTTTGAGAAAGCTATTAATTTTTTTTTAAAGATAATTGGTATCTCTGAGAGCTGCCATATCTCTTGAATAATTATTAAAAAAAGAGCTGGCAGCTGGGCTGTTGTGCTATTCAAACAAAAGTAAAAATGCCATTATTCATCAGACTGGTCAAGAAAAAGTGAGAGAGCCTCCCTCAAAATAGATCTTTATGACCAACTTCCCCCTATCACCCCACCCCCAAAAAAAGTGGCAACAAGAAACCTCTGCAAGCTAAGAGGCCACCTATTGGAAAACATTTCTGATGAACCTTGGTCATGAATTTCAGCCTTCTTTTGAATTATAGGTTTATAGATGTAAATTGTTAAAACATTCTAATTTAAGGTTCCCGGATAAAATATAGCCCAATTAAATTGAATTTCAGATAAACAATGAATAATATTTTAGTGTGAGTGTGTCCCATGCAACATTTAGGGAATGCATATACTAAAACATTGTTGTAGTTTATCAGAAGTTAAAATTTGTTTGTTGTTTATCAGAAGTTAAAATTAAATAGGCAGCCTGTGTTTTGATTTGCTGAGTCTAGCAACCCTACTCTCATTAGACTCTTTTTAATACGTGTGAAACTGTCATAGAACAGAAACTTTTATATATTTATATGAGGAGATTAAGAATAATTAAATTCTAATTAAAATGGGAAAACAAGCCAAAAATGACTAGGAAAAGGAACTGGAATGTGTCATGACTTTCAAAGTAATTTCAGTAGCAGAAATTCCTTCTCTTTAAAAGAGAAATTGAAGCTAAATGGAAATTGATTTCAAGCCTTAGATGGGTACTTCCCAAGGCTTTAGCGGTAGACTAAATGAAATTCGTTTGTTATTGCAGTTCTACCTTGCTATTAACACAGGCATTAGGAAAGCAGTGCCAGCTCAGGGGGAATGTAAACAGATTGAACAGACATGTTTACGATGTCGACAACAGCTGAATGTCATCATCGGGAGATCATCATTTGTCAGAATGTGATGCTAATATATGCTCCACTGCCAGCAAACCACAAGTAGTCAACCGCTGGTCAGAAATTAAGTTGGATGTACCTTACA